CTTCTCATTAATTTCAAATTTTATTGGTATTTCATCAGTTAAAAGATTTTTTTTATATTTGAAGTTAGAGTCTAAATAAAAAAATTTGAAGAATTTTGGATTTTGAATTTCTCAATGTAATAAAAATTTATTTAAAAATAAAAAACTAAGACATCATACTATTGAGAAAATGTAAATATATCGTTTTATAATAAAATTGGTAGAATTTAAATTCATCAAAAAAAAGTTTGTATCTATTACATGTTTAGAACTTGAATTATAGTGAAATTTTCAATTTTGTATTTGAAGAAAAAAAAAACATTACTACATACTCCAACTTTCATTTGGTTAAGTAGATTACAGGTCTCGCCACCTCCGTTATCATATGGTGATGTTTCCAAACGCATCCAATCATAATGTATTATATGTTTAAAAATTTGGCATAATGTTCACATTAGTCCCGAAGCTACTAAAAAAATTCAAATAAGTCTTTAATCTTTTATTGTATTCAATTAAGTCCCTATACTTTTATTTTAGATCAAATAAATCCTTGTAACTAATTATTAACTAATTGTCATTTGTCAAAACGCTACTTATCATTTTATATCTGCATGGTACTAACATGTTTTTTATATAGAGGATAAAAAATGTCACATAACCATATGCTATCATGCCAAATTAGCATATTAGGTCATCGCCAATTGTGATATATTATCAATTATGATATATCAACATTTTACATCATCATCAATTATAATACATCTGCGCCATGTGATACAAAATGACAAATAACATTTTAATTAAGTCAATCATTACTCATAAAGACTTATTTAACTCCAAATAAAAGTTTAAAGGCTTATTTGGCTTAAAATAAAAGTATAAAGACTTATTTGGCTTAGAATAAAAGTGTAAAGGCTTGATTGAATACAATAAAGTATAAAAGCTTATTTGAATTTTCCTGAATAGTTTAAGGATTTTTTGGATAGTATGCCTAAAAATTTGATACTATTTTTTATTTTTTTATATTTTAAAGTTTTCTATTTTTTAATTATGAATTAAAAAATTCCAAAAAAAAGTAGAATTCTAAAAATAACAAAAAAAAAAGAGTAAAACTATAAAATGAAAAAAATAATACCTAAAAAAGACCTTGTATTATTCAAGAAAATTTAAATAAGTTTTTTATTCTTTTATTACGTTCGATCAAACTTTTATACTTTTATTTTTAAATTAAAAAAATCCTTGCAATTAATGATTGACTAAGTTTTGTTAGTCAAAATACCACTTGTCACATAATGTTGATATAATATAATAGATAATAACATGATATGTTGATGCAATATAGTAACATGGTCATATAACATTTTTCGTTCTTCATATTAGCATCACGTTAGCACTAAGTCAATGTCACATTCATATAAAATTTTTAATAATGAATAGTTAACCATTTGTCATTACCTAAACTCGAGAGTTTGTGACCAGCGCATGAGCCTAGCAAGGGAAACCCGCAAGACTCGAGCAGACCTTAGAGTATATACTCAAAACATTCATAATACACATTTTCGTAGTTAAAATAACCATCACATAATCATTTCATAACATAATTCCAATATGTTACGACACTGCCCCTTAGCACATAATTAATACAACAATATTTTCACAATGTTCACAAGGCCATACATTGGTCATCCAAAACAGGTTCACATCATACAACCTATATCAAAATACTCAACATCACAATGCCTACACAAATCCCAACATCTTATAATTAAATTGAGAGCGATAAGGACTCAATGAAGTGGACATGTTAGAAGGGGGATGCTTAACAAATGTCAAAATTTGTTTATCAAGAGACGATGTCTGTTACGCACTATCATAACTTCACTTATCTGCATGTGGTACACACAAAAGGGTGAGTCACCTAAAACTCAATGAGGATGAAACTAGCATAGCATAATAAAACACATATAAATATGCACATATGTATAGAGACATATCTAGCCACAAGACTATCATAGTTATTTACCAAACATTTCCAAGATAAAGGTGTGAGGATCATCCTGATATCCTATGTGCACAACTCATCATACTATGCCTTGCCGTGATCACATCTCAACGGCATACCCCCATTCATAATTAATCAAATATATGTCTCCATAACGATGTGTGGCAAATCAAAGTTTACCTCAAAAGCGATCACCTACTGGGCTCCATAGGCACACCATAGTTGCGGAGCATAACATCAAAACTCAATATATAATTTACTTACATCTAAGCTTTCCCATCAGATAATATTCACATTTGTATAAGCATCAATGATCATTTGATTAAATACTATAGCATATTATTCGCATATATCATATCATAATCACACATGATCAAGGAGTGCTCTTCCTCTAGACATGGTCAAATCACATACAATGGCCAGCTGATGAACAAATCATGCTCAATGTCGAAGTAACTAATGAAAAGTCAAATCACGCCCAGCACTAAAGCAACTAACAGAGAATCAAATCACGCTCAATGCCAAAGTAGCTAGCAAAAAGTCAAATCATATGCGTATCGAAGTTACAAGTGGAGGGTTCAAATCCTGCACATGCTAAAGCAACAAGTGAAAGATTGAAATCATGCTCAGTGGCAAAGCAACTGAAAAAGAATCAAAGTCATCATCTGGAATCACTCAACGAATGGCATCACGGCATTGCAAGCAGGAATCACAAGTGTGACTTCTATTATTGTCTCTACTTACCACCATCCCTTTAGGCAAAAAACATAGTTACATAGGAAAGATGCCACTTAAAACCTCAAATCAAATTAACGTTCAAAATGCACCAATCAGACAGAACATAATCAAATTCATAAGCCATCATGCCATAACAACTCATATATATGTTTTGCCTCAATTAATCATGGCTCACTAGCCACACATACATCAACAGTTGCTCATCAAATTAATCATGGCCTAATAACCGCACATACATAAACAATCTCATATCAATTGAACACAAGTTTGCACAAATCGAACATGTATAAACACAATAATCCTCTAATAGGCTATTCATCTAATATTGATACCTTGAAGTGTATGTCATGTTTGTCAATATCATTGGGCAACCCTAGTCCTCATAGTGTAACACAGTTCTTGGCTTAAGAATTATGACAAATCACAAGTAAATCTCATAATCTAGGTTTCATATTCAATTTAATTGAAACTTAATGCCATGATGTGGCTCACGACATAACATACACATATATTAACACATTTCAATAATATATTAGCCCAAGCATAACCATTTAGGCATATACATAATTATTCAATGTACCACAGTAATGCATTAATCAATACGTGATATGTCACATGCATTATATTCAAACACAAACCCCACTCATAGTGACAATGGGAGTTCCTCTTGCAACTCAAGTTAATAATCTAAGTGTTCCTCTATTAGCACTTGTAATTGTAGCTCACCAATGCATTGACTTCTACTCAATCAATTCACCATTTGGGAATTTGGCAGAATTCTTACTCCCATTATAATATAACATTCAACAGATAAATAATCATCAATATTTATACAATTATTCTCTATTTCCAAGTTAAATCCTAGCTTTCTGGTCATTCCAACTTTTCAAAATAGCTCAATCTCTAGCTATTTATATCAATAGTCTTAAATCCTCTTAATTCGTTCACAAAGGGTTTAAATCTTACCTTAGCTGCTAATTTGGCCAACTTCAATTCCAAATCTCCAACAACATTTAACTCTAAACGGTCACCAAAGCTGTAACATGAAATTTCTATTTAATGAATTGTTTAAATTGAAAAATCAATTGGTCAAAAGTCATATTCTTACCTCTAGAGTAGTTTCTTAAGCTCAAAATCACGTCAAACTAGCTGAAAAATTCAATTGGGGATGTGAGGTTCAAAAAGGCAGAGAGTATGGCTTTTGGTTTGTGTTTTATGAATAGGCAAACTGCCTAAAGCCTTATATTTCTTGCAAATCCGCATGCATCTATCGACAATTCCTTCTATATATTTTGCATTTTGTGCCCTATCAATAGATACACTCAACTATAGGTAAAAGGCATCCTACTCTATTTTAATTCAGTCTCAGGTTGCCATCTATCGATATATTCGAGATATCTATCGATAAATAGTGATGTGCACTATTCATTGTTTGCTCTTGGATTATTATCTATCAATAGATGTCATTTGTTTATTGATAAATGGAGTCTAGAAAACTTTTCCTTACTTATTGCCTTGCATCTATCAACAGAACATGAACATCTATCGATACATGTTCTTATGCATTGTCTAAAATTCCTAAATTACTTGCCCATTAAAAAAAAAATCTTAGATTACTTGCATTTAGATTATCCCAAAACCTAAAATTTCTAACTCATTAACTCCCAAACTTTGAATTCAAGCCCCTACCTCATTCCCATTCACATAATCATCTCAATTAATCTCATTATACTCAACATCAATGCACATATTCATTATATAGCTCCACATTCTCAATTATGTTCAAATTTTACATATCTAATCATTCATAATCTCACTTAAGTGCCATACTTAGGTGTCTAAAGTGCCAAATGTATGCATTGTTTCATTAAAGGCCTTAAAACATGCCAATGCTTATAGTCATCTTCTCATATAACACATTGATCTCATATACAACAAAGATTCAAATTAGCCCATCAATTAGTTTGGCTGTCGTACATATCTAACACCAAAAATTGGGGTGTTACACCATTAGTCATAAAAAGGTTATTTGCTCTAAAATAAATATAAAAGAGTTTGATAGAATATTTATTTAAAGTCTTTTCAATAATTCAAAATTTTTTCTGAGTATTATATTAAAAAAAAAACTATTTGCTCCTAAGAGAGAAGTAAAAAATTGGCCCAAGACAAATCCGGGCCCCCGAAACCCATGATACACGATTCTAACGGGCCGACCAACAGTTACCCAGTTCATCCCTCTCTCTGTCTTTCCCGAAACCTTTAAACTTCGTCACTGAACCAGTCGCCCAAATAAGAGAGGCAAAGTGAACAGAGCTTCATCTGTTTTAGCCGCCGTGCCCTCTCTCCCTTCACTTCCATCCCCAAGCGCTCTCTCTTTCTCTCCTTTTTTTGTTTCAACTTAGCAAAAGACGAAGAAGAAGAAATGTCTGCTAACGGTAAAGCAGAAGTGAAAAGATTGTTCATAGGAGCAGGTTGCAACAGAATAGTTAACAACGTTTCATGGGGTGCTTGTGGTTTGGTCTCATTTGGTGCCCAAAACGCTGTTGCTATTTTCTCTCCCAAGGTTCCTTTCTTTATCTTCTTTCATCACTCTTTTCTTGTTTATCAATTAACCCTTTTTCTTTTTTGTTTTGTTGCATGTAGTCTGCTCAGATTTTGACAACACTTCCGGGTCATAAGGCAACTGTGAACTGCACCCATTGGCTTCCAAGTACCAAGTTTGCATTCAAAGGTACAGTTTAACTTTGTTGCTTTATTTGCAAAAGCGTATAGCTTTGTTGTTAATTACTTAACGTTAATTGGGAACCTTTTTTGTTTGTTTGCTGGAATATGACAAGGAAATAGAAAAAGAAATTTTCGTTTCGTAACTTGTTCATTTGGGTTTACGGTTTTTCTCAGTTATGTTTGATTAGCTACCAAATTGTTACTGAAAATTTCAACCATTTTGAGGGTTTTTTCTTTCAAAAAAGAAAAAATTTTGTGAGAGGCTAATTCTTGGAGAATTCGAATAGACCTGTCCCCATTTTATTGGTGTAGTTATGAACTTTTTTTGTGTGCTATATGCAGCAAAACACTTACAGCAGCATTATCTACTCTCTGGAGATACTGATGGTGTCATTATTCTATGGGAACTCTCTCTTGCTGACAATAAGGTATTCACTCTTAATTTTTTTTTTTTTTTTGGGTTTTTTCTGCTGTTTTGTTTAGGAAGCAAAAATAGAGTGAGTTGTTGCAAAGCCTACTTTTAAATTTTAGTATAGTTTGAAGAATATGGCAGAGTTTTTGTTGAATCTTTTAGCCACAATTTTTTTTTTCCACTCTTCTTTTTGCCTATCTTTTGACAGTGGAGGCATGTGTTACAACTGCCGCGATCACATAAGAAGGGCATTACATGCATTAATGGATTCATGGTTTCTCCAAGTGATGCAATATTTGCAACTTCTTCTTCTGATGGCACAGTTTGCATATGGGATGCTGTCTTTCCATCTTCTTCTACTGGGGGTGAGTGAAATGTTTGACAGATTTTAGTTTAATCATTTTGCACTTGGTGTCTTTGTTAACCAGAAGTTTTTACTTTGCAAGAATAGTTTTTGTAAATTCTCCTTATGGAGACACTGCTTTTTCTTCTGATGTGATTTAGAATTTAGTTACTCTTTCTTTGTTTTTAAACTATCAAGAGTTTGATATTTGAGTTCATTAACCGAGGTGAGCTAATAAATTTCATGTCAAAATGAGGTACATTTATGTTTAATATTATCGAGTTTCTATATGTGCCAGGGTAGGTGTTCTCTGTTATTCTAGTAATGCTATTCTATAATGCTGGGTAATGTTTGCGTTTTAGGATTTTTGGCAAAGAGAAGGTTTTTCTTATCTCCATTATCTGTACAAAAAGTTCATATGAAAGTCATCCCACAACTCTATACAACTTTGAGAAAGTTATGGAGTATGAGGTGAGAAAGTGGCAAAAGAGATTTGAGAATAGGAAACCTTTTTTCTTTTGGCTCAACGAGAGAATAAGAAACTTGCTCAATGTCTAAACTGCTATTGGTCTCACAGAATTCTCTTCAGATCTTGTTGGTTTAGATAAATTGTTATCTAACAGTTAAGTAATATTTTGTATACATCATGGTTACATCAGGTTGATTTAATGATCCTTGTATGGCTGTGAAATGGATTTATCTGTTCCTGCTCCATTCATGAATTAATTAGATGCACAGACCTCCCAAATTCCATTTCTTAAAAAACTGGAATCAAATTGTTCTTGTGCTATTTTAATTGATTGAGATGAGGAAAGAGAATAAGTTGTTACCATTCCACTGTTTTGATGTCTTGTTTCTGTTAAACAAGCATTCAATGGACCGAAGACCAAGCAGGATGCAACCAAGCCTCAGGCATCTCTTACAGTTTCTATTTATATTGCTTCCATTATAATCTTGTATTAGCATGTGGTTCCTCATGATTTTCTGTGTTTGTTTGATCTGTTATTTGGGTTCTGTACAAATTTTTGTTTAATCCGTGTTTGTTAATTATCTTAAAACAAATCATTGAACAGTAGTTGATTAGTATTAAAACCTTGATTATTTTTTTCGTCTAGGTGACTGTAAATTGTCATGTCTGGAAACTGTTATTGTTGGCTCAAGACCGCTGGTAACACTTTCACTTGCTCAACTGCCTGGAAATACTGGGCATATAGTCCTGGCAATGGGGGGATTGGATAACAAGATATATCTTTATTGTGGGGAGAGGACAGGAAAGGTAACCAACCTCTGCTTTTATCTATCTTAATTTTTCATGCATCAATTATTTCTACTCATGTCAACTCATATATTTTCAATCCCAAACTGATAGAGTTTGAACAGATAAATCCCTTTTCTCCATTCTGCCTCATCTAGGGCCATCCTTTCTAAAAGGTGTCAAGATACTCAATAATTCCTCGATATTTTGCACCATGTGATTTCTATTCTCCCACAACTATTTTCTGTATCCTATAAATGATTTGACTTTTACATTTAAATTTGTATGCCCAGTTTGTTCATGCTTGTGAATTAAAAGGACATACAGATTGGATCAGGAGTTTAGACTTCTCATTACCTGTATCCAGTGGTGAAGCCAATAGTGTGCTACTTGTAAGTTCATCTCAAGACAAAGGCATACGCATATGGAAGTTGACTCTCCGAGGTTCTCTAGCCAACACAGAGGGTACATATAGAAGAAGTGAAATAAGCCTGGCATCTTACATTGAAGGTCCTATTTTTGTAGCCGGCTCATTCTCATACCAGATATCTTTGGAATCTCTTCTAATTGGACATGAGGATTGGGTATATTCGGTACAGTGGCAACCCCCTTCAATGGCTGCTGAAGAAGGCTTTGGCTTCTATCAACCCCAAAGCGTTTTATCTGCATCAATGGATAAGACAATGATGATCTGGCAACCTGAGAGGAAAACTGGTATTTGGATGAATGTGGTCACTGTTGGGGAATTAAGCCATTGTGCTTTAGGCTTTTATGGTGGCCATTGGAGCTCAGATGCAGATTCTATCCTGGCACACGGATATGGTGGGTCATTCCATATGTGGAGCAATGTTGGTGTTACCACAGATAATTGGCAACCACAGAAAGTCCCTTCTGGGCATTTTGCTGCAGTGACAGATATTGCATGGGCAAGGCATGGTGAATACGTGCTGTCAGTTAGTCATGATCAGGTAAGATGTTACCAATGTTTTAGACGCTGGTTATGAACTTTCAGTCTTGCTTTGAGTTCTCTGTTTGTCGTTAAATGTAAACTGTAATGTGCAAGATATTGTTTTTCTGCCTACCTTCTACATATCCTTTCTCTGATTCATGTATATATCTCTTTTGGGAATGTTGATTTTAATGCATATCTTTACTAACCTACCTCGCATGATCAGCACTGACCTGTCAAGGACAAGGTATGTTCGAATCTTTTACATTTACTTGAGTTCTTCAAACTGACCCATAGAATCTATGAGAATAGTACCGCATTGGTACTTGTCAAGACATTTTGTAAGTATGTTTTCTAGTGTATGGAAGTAGTGTAATGGCTTTAAGTTGAAACTTCTTTATGTTTGTCAGTCAGTGGCCAATAAACAAGTAATCAAGATTTTGATAAAATGATATCGTGGTGGTATTTCCCAAAGCATGTTCCTTTAGGAGCATTTGGTGTATTGCCTCCTGAAATACTATGTCAGGAAGGAGAGATTGCTAAATTTTAGTTAATAATATCAGATGAAACTTATCATTTTGTTACTCTCAAATCTCTTGTTTGCATTCTTGTATGAGAGTTCAATTAACAATTTTCTGTGGACATATAAATCTAGTTGATTGGCGGGTCCCCTTTTGTAATTATTTATTTCAAAGAAGAGAGGTTGTAGATACTTTTGATATTTTTATAATACTAAAAGGCCATTTTGATGGTTCAATCATTGCAGACAACTCGTACTTTTGCTCCATGGCACAATCAAGATCCTCATTCTGATGGGGACTTCTGGAATGAAATTGCTCGGCCTCAAGTTCATGGGCATGATATTAATTGTGCAGCTATCATCCAAGGAAAAGGGAATCATTGTTTTGTCAGTGGAGCAGAGGAGAAAGTTGCCAGAGTGTTTGAAGCCCCTTTATCTTTCTTGAAGACACTACATCATGCTATTTCAGAACAGTCTAGTTTTCCCGAAGACCTCCAGGCAGATGTACAGGTCTTGGGTGCCAATATGTCTGCTCTTGGGCTGTCACAGAAACCTATTTATGTAAATGGTGAGTGCCTCTTAAACAACTCTGCAATAAGAAATGTGTGCATTCCACTTAAGATCCTTATGATATCCAATTTTTCCTGAGGATTATTATTTGATATTTGATGAATTTAAGTGCTCCATGCAAGATTTTCTTTCTGCTAGATGTGAACCTGGCTTTTTTCTTACACTGCAAATTATTAGAAAAGTTGTCTCTTGATTGTTTCTGAATGCAACACCTCAGTTTTTAGTCTCTACAACAACAAATTCAGTCCTTGTAATCTTTTCTGGACTTTCTAGCCTTCAATTTCTCCTAATGATGCTAGGATAAAACTGAAGCACAGTTAAGCTAGGGCTATGCGATGTAACCTGCTGTTGAATTCAGAGTCAAAAGGAGAAAGGTGAATTTACAATGTTAGAAGCATTATTCTTACTGCATTTAGGACATGAGAACCTGATATGGCATTAGAGAAAGCTAAGACATTTTTGAACTAAAGTATAAGTAGGACAATGGATGGATAGGTCCTGAGTCTGCTCATTTGGTTGCCTGAGTCTTGAAAAGTATTTCTTAGTTGACATTAGAATTATTGTTTACCCAGCAACACATTCATTCTTTTAAAATTGTCAAGGTAATTTGTCTCACTTGCTGATTTGGAGATATGAATTTGGGAGGTTATTGAAGTTAAAAGTGTTCTGATTGTCATTTATTAGGGACTTAAATCCATCAGTCTCAGAATATTTGTCCTACACTGAGGTGTTTGGCTGCAATTAAGATAAACCCTACCGCAGCTTTATCTTTCCTTGGAACCTTTAGCATCCACATGAAGACTTCAATTCTGCAATCTTACTATTTTTGTGGGATTAATAGGCATCTTATGTTTCTTGTAACTTTCTTCTTTTTTTTTTTATCAGGTGACCATGTGAGCCTAGCATAATTTTCAGTGTCTTGCTTTCTAGTTTCTAGTAAGTGATTTAGATTATAGAGTTTCCGTTTATAAAAAGGAAAACCTTTGTGAGTTTACAGCTATTTTGCCTCTTTTTTGGATCTCCTATGTATCATTTGGTGCTTACGCCTTCAGAACCTTTAACATACAGACCGAATTAAGTTATCTCTGTCCTACCCCAAGATAATATCTTGCCCTCAAAAGGGGGAAAAAATAACTGAAACACAAGTATTTGCCATTGCTTTGCTTTTTGATAAAGCCCATTGACAGAAGCATTTGCTTCTGCTTCTCATACTTAACTACTGCCTGTTACACAAGGATTTAGCAACATTAATACTTATGTTATCAGTTTTGTTCTTGTTTCCTTTGTATAGTGACAGTTTCTTGCTTTCTTTATATTTGCAACGCCCTAAGGTTATCTCTATCATTTTGCATGCATGAGTGTCAATAAACAAATTATTTGACAGGAAATCTTTTCCTTGCAGCAACCCATGAGATTTCAGATAATGTTGGAAATGATGGTCTTGACACTCTTGAATCCGTTCCTGATGCTGTTCCGGTTGTGTTCACTGAACCTCCTATTGAGGATCAGCTTGCATGGCATACTCTATGGCCAGAATCACACAAACTCTACGGTCATGGGAATGAGCTGTTCTCTTTATGCTGTGACCATGAAGGGAAGCTTGTTGCTTCATCATGTAAGGTACATGCTGTCTTTCTTACTGTTTGGTTTACTAGAAGTTTAATTCCAATGAATTTGTGAGCAGTGGCTTGTGCTTTGACATAAATCTTTTTCTGTGTATGTTTTGAATTAACATTTCTTTTGACTCAGTTAAATTGCAATGGTTACAAGTCATATGGGTGCTTTCTATCGTGTGTTGCTATTGGGGATATTTATGTATGTGCATTCCAGATAAAACTATGAGAACCAGGCAGTTATTTCCTGAATGATGAAGTCATCTGTAGCATGAGGCAGATCTTGTCAGAGTCATTCAGGAATGAAATTTTTCAAAATCTTTGAGAAACAGAATGGAAACATCATAATAAGTTTGGAAATATCTAAAAACATCACAAATCGTTGAAGGAAAGATAGTTACATGCATAATTGAAATTTAGTAGGTTAAATTTGGTATCTTGGAGGTGTAAATCTACTTAACACTGGCGTGCTACTTGAACTTATACGTGACCTTCATTTCGCACTGTGATGGGCTGCCAAATGAAAGGCCTTTTTCAATTATTCCTTATGCTACTTATTTTACAGGCCCAGTCAGCAACAGTAGCGGAAATATGGTTATGGCAAGTAGGTTCATGGAAAGCTGTTGGTAGCTTGCAATCTCACAGCTTAACAGTCACACAGATGCAATTCTCTCATGATGACAGTCTTCTTTTGACAGTCTCAAGGGATCGCCAGTTCTCCATTTTCACAATCAATAGAACAGGTACTCTAAAATCTACTAATTGCGTAATAGTACTGTTTCATATAAGTAAGCTTTCTAGTTGTTCTGTCCCCAAATGAAGTGCATTTAAGTATATTGATTGTCTTGTAAAGGCAACTATTGCTGAAGTTGTGCCAAAAAGAGGTCTTTTAGCTTCTTGTGTACTTTCTTATATCAAATAATTATCAAAATGGGGTGGGCAGTGGGAAACTCTTATCCTACATTTGTTATGCATATTTTCAAAGATTAAATGGAGGGGAATTGGAAATTCTAAGGGGAATGAATAAACAGTAATTTGGATTTATGATTTTTATGTTCTGTTATTATTGCTCACTGTACATTGATTGAATGCTTCCCTTCATATTATCTCCAGTTAAATTAGAAGATTATAATCGTCTGGTTTATCTGAAATGTCTTAGGCACAGGTGAAATTGATTACAAGCTCTTAGCGAGGCAGGAGGCCCATAAAAGAATAATATGGGCATGTTCTTGGAACCCCTTTGGTCATGAATTTGCAACAGGTTCTAGGGACAAGGCAGTGAAGATTTGGGCTGTGGAAAAAGCTTCTTCAGTTAAGCAGCTTCTAACTTTGCCACCGTTCAACAGCAGTGTCACTGCCCTCTCTTGGGTTGGCCTTGACCGACACAGAAATCATGGGCTTCTTGCAGTTGGAATGGAGAGTGGACTCCTTGAACTTTGGAGCCTTCATATTGGAAGAATTGACGGTAGCACTCCAGCACCGGCTGTGACAGCTGCTCTAATCGTGCGGCTTGATCCTTTCATGTGCCATGTTTCTGCAGTTAATCGGTTGGCCTGGAAGAACCGTGAGAACAATGAAAACTGCACAAGCCTCCAGCTGGCGTCTTGTGGAGCTGATCATTGTGTGAGGTTGTATGAGGTAATTGTAGAGTAATCCGATAATAATGGTTTTGTACTATAGACATTTTTTCTTCGTATGACTAATCCAATAATAATTCTTATGTCTTTAGATTTTATTTATATATTGTCTCCCTGTTTCCGGTGTCCACTTGAAACAGACTTCATTTGTCAAACTAGGGGACCCCATTAAATGACAGCTTATACACCCTGCGTTTTGAGCGAGAAACCTGGGTTGTTTAAGACTTTGATTAATATGCTTTCAAGATTCATTTATGGTGGCCTTGGTTTGCCACTTCTTCAATAAGTTTGTGTAGCTTAAATTGACAAGAGAAGACAGCGACTTGCCTTGGCGCAAGGGAGAAGAGTTCTCTTTTCTCTCTCTTGAGGCTCTTAGCAATTACGTCGTGTACTTTTATTGAACTAAAAGCGAAGACCAACGGTTCTCACTTGCCCACCCGCATGCATGATTATCCCATGCTGAGCTGTGAACCTGTTGGAATATGCCCCGAAGTCCTTAGAGATGACTAGGCCAGGGGCTTAAAACATTGAGTTGAAGGCTGTCAAAGATTAGACCCTGCTCATTTTTTATAGGCAAAATGAAATTCTTTCTCTTAGATATTAAAATGTGTTTTTCATGGCATGCCTCTACTAACATCATTGTCAACGATGGATCATATTAGGGCATCAGAATTTAGAAAATACTTCGTCTGATCTTTGCTAGAAATTGATCCCAAAAACTCTTTAGCTGTTCCTAGTTGGTGCATCTTTTATGAACCGTAATGGTTGTATACTGGCCCCTCACAGCAGGTAAGGCAAATCTCTTTAAGAGCAGCTTCTGATCACTTAAAAATAAAGTTCATATCTCTCTTTTTTCCAAAAATAAAAAAAATCAACAATTGTAAAGGGTCTACAC